GGACTGAAATTTCTACAAACTGTGAGCCAAAAAAAAACTTCCTTCCTTCCTTTAATTTGTGGGTATCAAGTATTGTGTCTCAATGATAAGAAAGAAACAGAGAGAGATTTTGGCACCAGAGAACTGGGGACATTGCTTGAGGCTGACCATATGTTTTAGATGCCTTTGGAACTTGCTTCACTGAGAAGTTTGGAAATATTTGAAGATGTCGGTTGGAGAACCAGTCCTACAATACTATAAGCCAAGATTGCTGGGACGTTCTGGTTGGAGTTCAGAAGACCAAAATGCTGACAGAAATGCAGACAGAAAAGACCAGTCTCAGGAGATTTCTGTTGGAAACAAGTACTCCATTGGCTGTTGGACTCCAAATCATATATGTTATGTTCTGGCAGAAAATTTATCTATGTTTTGCTCATGTCCTGAGACTTTATGGGAGACTGACATTAACTGCAGTGAGGTAATTAATCTGGCAGAGAAAATTTCAAGGCAGCCAAACATTGAAGCTGCGGCTTGGGTACTGTTGGGTGCTTTTAGCAAGCTCTACATTGAGCATCAGGAGCTAAGAGCTGAGTTGAATGATTTAAAACATCTTGAGTTTAGCCAGAGAGGAAGCTCCAGTAAAATTGGAGCCTGTAAAAATGGAGTAGAAGAGAGCTTGGTTGCTGGAAGATTTAGCAATAAAACAAAGCTGAGTATCTTGCAACAGGGCAATAAAAAAGATGGCTTGAAGGCATTACAGAAACCAGCCGGACCCTACCATTTACCGGCTCAATGTTACAAAAGTGAAAGACTTTCTTTTGAGAAGATAGCCCCAGGGTACCTTGCTGCAGAAGAAGAATGGCAGCCTGGAACCTCTATTCCCCAGGATCTGATTCGCAGTGCCCAGACATCCAGGCAACCAGAGGTCAGTACAGCTATGATTCAAAGACATCTGACTACTCCTCAAGCTGGCAGCAGATTTTGGCATCATCCATGTGGTGCTGATTTTACAGACGTGCAGAATACAAGCATCATGGGGTCAGAGCACATTCCACCCAGATTTCAGAAGAACTGGGAGAGCAGGCAGTGTAACCCTGAGACAGCAGTGCAGAAAGCTGTGAGTCTCGAGCCCAAGATGCACTGGAGACCCCAGGAAACCGGAGGAACCAGGAATGTGGAACATCTAAGGAAAGCCACAAGCAGTGAACAAAGCCAGTTCAAGAGAGAAGCTATGAAGGTTACAACCAGTGGCAATGCCGCCAACCAAGGCTTTTGGAGTTCACATGTTGCAACAGTTTGCCCCAGGTGCTAGACAAGGAGCTATGGGAATTAATGTTTGCCCAGCTGGGTTTTGGTCTTCTTTGGTTTCATTGCTTTCTAGTCCCCTGTACTTCCATTTGGAATGGGAATGCTTGCCCTGTACCACTGTATATTTGCACTGTTTAACTTTTGATTTTTTGTAGGGGCTCACAGGTAAGAGTTTGCAGTGTTGTCTCAAAGGAGACTTTGTACTTCAACTTTTCAGTAATACCAAGACTGTTAAGTCTTTAATAACTCTTAGAGATGGTTGAAATGCCTTTTGTATAAAGGGATGTGGGGGCTGGAGTAGAATGTTATGCTTTTATCTAGCTGTTCCCCAAAAACCTCATGCATTCACGGGGGGGGGGTGGATTTTGGGAGGTGATTGGGCACATGACAATCATCAATGGATCAGCCCACTGGTGATTGGATAACTGACTTGCTGATAGGAAGTGGGCTCTGTTAAGAAGACATGGATGCCTGGGGCATGTGGGTTGGGTCTTCTCTGTCTTTGCCTGAATTCTATCTCTGCTTTCTCGCTGCCATTCCATCAGCAGCTCACCTCTACCATACACCTGTACTGTGACGCCCTGCGTCACAGACTATGCACGCTATGAACCAAATCAAACCTTTCCTCCTTTAAATTGTGTCTCAGTGATGAGGAAGTAACTAAGACAGGTCTACATGGTAGAATGAAATCAGTATGGGGAACATATCCACAGCTCATGCATAGATAGTCCCAGCTACACAAGCAGGAAACCTGTGTTGTGAACAGTAGGGCCTGGAGATTGTTTGTTACTGCAGCACGGCCTAAAAAGATCTGACTAATGATGCATCATGCATTTCCTTATTTGTGACATTTTATTTGGTACCTGTGGCTTCTGACCATTTCTAACAGATGTCGGTGAGTAATGATTATTGTTTTTAATATTTCTAAGGGGTTCTGTCCTGGCTACACCAGAAACAGGGATGCAGTTTTCAAAATAAAAATGCATTGGCTGCAATTGCAGAGATTCTGATTGCCTTAGCTAATGGAATCCAGGAATCTGCATAATTAGAAATTTCACGGATCTTTTAGCAAATTCAGAGGATGGGTTATGGGCTTCAGTTTGCTTCGGACTAATCTTTTTTGATCTTCTGAATCTACGTCACCACTCACCTTTATAGCCTTGACCTGAAAATTGGCTTTGTGTATCACACTCAATCTTAGCCCCGTGGCTTCATTTTTCACTCATGACCTGGCCAAACAAAACTTGCAACCTATAACTGCTCTTGTTCAAAGCACACATTGAATTTTTCTTGGAAGAAGTGTGTGTGTGTGTGTGTGTGTGTGTGTGTGTGTGTGTGTGCAAGCACATTTATGAACAGAAGCAGGTAAATTGTGCTGAGAAAAAGATAATTCTGAAACAATGTAGCAGAGATAATTATCTGTCTGGAAAAAGGTACGGATCCTGTTTAGGTCAAAAGTAACAGGAAAATTGCTGATTCAATTATTTCTTTTAAGTGTCTCATAAATAACACATGCATAATTCTCAAATGTGGCTGTTTACTAAAAATCAGATGATTGTCCAAATAAGTCCTTAAAGCACATTTTGTTCAGTGATACAATAATAATGACGATGATGACAAAAAAAGGAAAAGATGTGGGAATAAAAGTAATGTAAGGCAAAATTATATAAAATCAAATACCTTAATTTCTATGGCCACAAATCTAAGACAAAGCTTCCTGTACCATGAAGACTGCCTTCCCTGCCTCCACCTGGTTCTTTATTAAGTTCTTAATGGTTTTGCACTAAGCCACTCTGAGTAAGCTCCTCATGTATGTCCTGATTGATGTCCTTGAAACAAACCCAGAAATAGTACACATTGAAACAGCACACAGAGTTAGGATGCTTGCTGTTCAGGTGTGACAACTCTTACATTGCCATCACTTTGAAGTCATTCCTATTCCTGGGCAGCTAGTGCTCGGTCAGTGGACTGCACTTGTAGCCACCTTATTCCAGAGGTGGTGTACTTAGGGTCTGAGCAACATCTGAGACAACTCAGGAAAAAGGTGGTATATGTCTCTGAACTGGTGATACATTGTCATTGGAGGAAATGGCACAGTCAGAGTCTAGTGAGCTTGTTGAGTCCTTTCTGGCTTTATCCACAAGGGATGTATAATTGCCTTAATTCTGCTACTTGTTTCCCATTATTTTTCCTCCTGAGATACTGAACTTGTGACAAAGGTCAAAATAATATGAAAGATAAAATAAAGCAAAATATAATCCTACCCTTGGATTTCATCACATTATAGAGGCATAGCCAGGCAAAATTGAGGTTACAAAACATCCTTGATAAACTTATTTATGGATATAGACTCAGCAGCTTCCCAAACTCATGTTATTCAAAGATATTTTTTACTACTCATATGTAAGAAATACCTAAAAATTCAGTTAAATATCTTGCAGTCATATTTCTTTTTGTTTTTCTCCCTGTGGATGAATTAACTCCATAGATATAGAAAACTCTAGAAATCTGCCCATTAAAAGTTCATGTTCATACTTATGTCCTTTACTTAACAGCATAGAGAAAAGTTCAAGAACAATTTCCTAGATAACTAGTTGAATTTCCAGCTGAGAGATGTTCCTATTTTAAATGTTTGTTCAAACTTCCTGTGTTAAATTTAAGAACCTTAAAATGTGGATACTTTGTAGATCCTGAATACTTTATGAAATAATTAGAGCCATCAGATCATTTAGTCTTTCAACTAAACCTCTTTACTAAATGTTGCTATGCATTTTATTGTGAGTCCTGCTTGTTAAGAGCATTGAAAAAATTTTTTTTCCTGAAGTTAAGCAAATCTATTGCAACTGAAGGCTCTAGAGTGTCAGAGAGGCTAACAATTCCTTCAGCACCAATTTAAAAATATGTTTATCTTCCTTATTTTTTCCTTCCTTGCTTTCTTTACTTCCCTTCCCCTTTCCTCCCATTCCCTCTATCTTTGTCTTTTTAATATTATTTCTTTCTCTTGGATGGAACCCAGGGTTTTGCACTGATCTGGAAAGCCAGGCCTCATTTTTGATTTTTGATTTTGAGACAGGGTCTCACCAAACTCCCAAATTGCTCGGCTGGGCTTCACTTTGCAGTCCCACCTTAGCCTGGCATAGGACTGGGACTGTAGGTATGCAGCAGCACGTGCTCCCCGTGGTCTCTTTTGATCTTTCTTTCTGGTGGTTTAGAACCGAACTATGCTGTTATTTAATTTTCTCCAATATAATAAACATACAATAAGAATGATTTTAATGAAGTGGGAAAGAGTCTTAGAACTGGACACTCGAGTCAAAAATGATTCAAGGAATCATTGTCACCAAGTCCTTGTTTGTTGTGTAAGCTACTAATATTTGCCTCCAGTGGAATAAAAAGGATTGAAAATAAAGTGAGTTGTGCAGGATCTCCTCCTCTTTGGGATACTCGGTACATCTGGATACCGAGAGGGCTGGAAATGGCAGTTAAGATTTTTAGTGGTAATCAAATTTTATTTGCTTTACTTTTGTACTTGAGTGCAAAACGACAGAATGCTTTTATGCTGCTGGAAATTGCAGCCCTTTGTAAAATGAATGTTTCTTCCGTCCAAAGTTAAAACGTGAGATTTCACCGCTAAAGAGACAGGCCGGTGTCTGGGACCTTGCTGGCACAGGCCGGCTGTCTGCTCATGGCTTGTGGTCTGCTTTCTTTTACAGCATAGGTGGAGACGTGGGGCGAGCCCATGAGGCGAGCTGCGTGGGCAAACATTTCCGCATGGGCTTCATGACGATGCCAGCTCCGCAGGACAGGCTGCCCCACCCGTGCTCCAGCGGCTTCACTGTGAGGTCCCAGTCTCTGCACTCTGTCGGGGGCACCGACGATGACAGCAGCTGCTGCACCCGGAGACAGCCGCCCCCCAAGCCCAAGCGGGACCCCAGCACCAAGCTGAGCACCTCCTCGGAGACGGTGAACAGCAGCAGCACAGCCAGCAAGAGCGGGAAGGCCGCGGAGAGGACCGAAGGTAACCCTCGCCCGCCTGCAAGGCCGCCCTGGGAGTCTTAGGCAGCCCCTTGGTCACCCCACTAACCACATCTGCCTTCCTCACAGGGTCACATAATCCTGCCTCCCTCACCCCGAAGTCCCAGAAAAGAAATACCAAAGGGGAAGGTTGTTTATTGATGTGTTTTCAAATGACACCCAGAAGCACCCAGACGGATGTACTTAATTTGTGTAATAAGAAAGAGAAGGCAATATGTGAGTTTTTAAAACCCCCTTTAAGCTTTGAATCATTCGACAATTATTTTGCCCAAAAACACTTCTAGAATTTGTATTTTCTTGCTTTTATTAATATGATTTGCATAATTCAAAGAAGCACTGTGTGATTATTAGGGGAATGTTTCAGTGCAGGAATTTATAAAGAAAACAACTTTTAATTGTAACATTTAGAAATGATAATTTTATTATTTCTTTCCAATGAATATAAATGGATGCATGGGAGTATTCTATATATTTCTGCCTCCTATTTCTATCTCTTACTCCTACCTTTACCTCAGTCTTGAAACACACAAATCAAGTATATTCCATGTTCCTCACTGATCTCTGACATAAACTAGATCCAACTAACCCTAATCTCACCAGTTCTTTAGCCCTTACTTGAATAAGTAAGAGCACAATTTTCTTGAGGTTTAGCTCCTTGCTGGCAGGATAATCTCAAGTGGGCTTTGCTGCAAGCTGTCTTGGTCAGTTCAGGTTGCTATCACAAACTGCTATAGACTGGGTAGTTTATAATGAACAGCAATTTACTTTTTAGAGTTCAGAGGCTGGAACAATCAAGAAACCAGGGTGATTTTCTCTGGTTAGGTTTCACTCGCAGGTTGTAGCCTTCTGTCTTCTTGTACTCTCACACTACTTACCTTTAAATACTGTCATATTAGGACTAAGAGTTCAATATTTTAATTTAGAGGGTCACAGGCATTTAGTTCATGGTGTGAGGTCTTTTTGATTTTTACCTATCTGCTGCACTGAACTTTTCAGTGTTCCTGTGGCCAGTTTGCCAAGCAAGCTGCACAGACCTGAAGTCTTTCTGCCCCCTTGCCCCATGCTGGGCTTCCTCACAGAAGGCTTCCCTGAACCTCACACTACCAAGTTTGCAGGCTGCAGCGGAGAATGGAAACCATGGAGGCCTTCCCTGAGCTTGACTCAACTCTTTGCCACTGGGGTTCCTGGTTTCTCATGAAATCTCGCTTACCTTCTGGCCTTAATCTTTCCACAGAAGTTCGTGCAGTCCATGAGGCAAGGTGCCCCGTGTATGTACCATCTCCCCCTTTATTCTTCTTTCTCTTTCTCACCTGCTGTCAGCCAGATGACGATAGTTTCAGTGCATTACTTAATGACAGAGTAAATGTCTTGTGATGAAGCTAGTTCATCAATTCTATAAAGACAAGCCTTAGTTTTCCTTACCACATATACGTGCAAAATTGCATGGTATGTTTATTATATATGTATAAAAATGTGTCTGGATGTGAGGGAAAAACACATGTGAATAACTTACATGTGTATCTTTATTTTACAAGTTGCAATCATAGTGCCTAGTATCCTGTTTTGTATGTTCACTTACTTTATTGTGACTACTTTTGCTGTCGTGCAATTTGTCAGCAAACATCATTCTTAAAGAAAGAAGTACACATTATAGTAGCTTATTATCTTACTGATATACAGTAGTTACAGTGGTTACAGTTTGTGTAGCTATATGGAACAGTACTATGATTGAGATTTGTGTGTGTGTCTGTTTGCATACATTTTTGGGTGAGGTTATAGAAATTGGATTGTTTTCCATAAGTCAATAACTTGTAACTACTTATTCTAAGCCCATACTCTTAGAAATAATGTAGATATTTAGTTTACTTATTAGTAGGACAGAAGACTTCAAAGACATGAATGTTGTAAATTTCAACTATTGTTCTCAGATTTTCTGTAGTACTCAGACATGGTGTCTTTCCTTTATCTGGATTTTGTGTGATCTTGGATCTAGAAATGGCAGCTCTCCTTCTTCTACTATATAATCAGTTACATTAGATTGTTACAAAGGAAGAGTAATGATTTAGAAAAGCATTTCCTGATTGCAATGTAGAATGAGTCAAGAATAAAGGAAACTAAGCAAACCCCCTGCAGGGAGAGAAGTAAGAGAAGAAATGTGTTAGAAGAATCCTGTTGCCTGACCAGAATGGGAAGTACACACACAGACCAGCTCCCTTCAAGGGAAGTATTACTGGGAAATTGGAGTAAAAATAAGGAAGAAGTCATCTGTCTTATGGGAGATTACCATTCATCTGGGATCCTTCACGTAGTTAGCTCCTGAGGGCCATAAGTTTTTCTAAGGTCTTTCACCATTGAAGGATGAAGTGTTACTCAACAGTAGAAAGCAGCTATACAGTTTTGTTTCTCGTGAACGCAAATGAAGAAAAAGTGACTTAGTTTCAGTAACAAAGATGTAATAACTTAAATTTGGAAAACTACGTAATGGACGGTGAGTCCATTGGAACACGAGGTCCTAGTCAAATATTTCACCTCAAAAATGATTCAAGAATGTCTGAAAAGCGCTCTACAGGGGTGACTAATGGAGCGTCTTAAGTAGACTGGAGGAGTTATTAACATCCTGTGCAGAAATGGTAGACTTCTGTAGCAGAGTGATTCGATTTTTTATGCAAATTTTGCTTTCTCCTCGGAACTCTTGAGAACAAAGGCAGTTGCAAAACTAGCTATCTTCAAATCTCTTCTAATGTTTTATGACCTTGATAATAACAGGATAGAATCAGGGCTCAGTTCAGCATGGGAAAAGTCTTGAATCCAAATGCATGTGTGCGTATGTGTACACTTGAAGCCAAAATTATATAAATATGTGGATTGCTCTTTTATGAATTCTCAGTTCTTTTATAATTACCAGCTAACTGGGGTTCATTATAGAACATATGTTTTCTTTATAATTTTCTAGCTATCAACATTGTAACACAGATAAAAAGTGACTTTTATAAACCTTAGTTTGCCTTTTCTTTTTATATTACATGTCAGCAAAATCAAAATATTGATTCAGTGGCATTAGAATGATTTCCATGGTAACTAGCTTCTAGTTAAGCAAAGGATTATGATTTCCCTGTGAATAAAAGTAAAAAGAACTGGACTTACAGCAAAATGGCTTTTCAGAATAGAAAACAGAAAGAGAAAAAGAAATGAAGACAGTTGAACACAAACAAAAAAATTGCATGCCAGGTATAGTTCAGTGTTTAAAAATTAGATTATCACCACATTAGAATGTAGACCTATTGCTCCATTTTAGGATGTTCTACAGTAGTGACAACTTGAAAAAGTTTGTTACAATGGAGAACATAAATTAGCAATTAAAGCACTATAAACGTTTTAATTACCCTTCATTGCTTTAGTGTGGTATCTATTTACTTTGAGGAAAGATGAGGTAAAATGGAGTTAACTAGAAAGCATAATAAGCCATACAGGTATCTGTATCTGGTATGTGATCCAGCTGTGCAGTTGTCCCTAGATAAATACGTATTCCAGTCCTCAGTAGCTGTACTGCTACTAGGGATGTCGGGCCGTGCATGCAGGCGAGCTGTACTTACAGTCAAGAGGCAAACACTAGCTTTAGGCAAGTGACTCAGTGAGATGGAATTGATAGTGTCCTGCCTTCCTCATACTCTTCTGTCAGTCCAGTGGGCTAATTCCAGTGAAGTGCATGGGAAAAAGAAATTCCTATGCAAGTAGAAGTGGGTACAATTTATAATATGTAATACCTATTAATATTCTTGAAAAAATGAACTTCTGGTTTGGTATAACACATGTATTGAAAACAAATAGGAGAAGAAAACAAAAGATAGATCCACCCATCCTACATGTCAGAGACTTCAACTTTTAACACAAGGATACCATCAAAAATTCAAAGTAAAAAGTACTGGCAAAGGTGTGGAGGAAAGAAAATCCTTGCGCTGCTCGTGTAAATTGTTGTAAACATTAAGGCAAAAAGCATGGAACTCCTCCAAAATAATTAAGATCCAGCAATCCCACTAGTGAGTATATATCCAAGGAAAAGACGTCAGCATGTTAGAGGAATTTACACACTGTGTTTGTGATAGCACTGCTCACAACAGCTGAGTTGGAATAAATTTGAGTGTTCATCACCTGATGAATGGAGAAAAGGAATGTGGTTGTGTATGCATATAACATGGAATGCAATGGGCATTTTTCAGAGATAAAAAGTTTTCAGCAACATGAATAAATGTGGGAGACATTGTGTTAGGTGAAATGTCAGGTGTAGAAAGACAGACACCACACGATGCACCATCACTGGATTTGGAGAATGGTAGGTACAAGGACAAGGGATTTGGGGACTGTTGGTTAAAGGATTCAAAATTTCAGTTAGATAGGAAGAGTGTGTTCAAGAGATCTATTGTGTAGCATGGTAACTACAATTGATAACTATATATTGTATTCTTGAAATCACTGAGAGATTATAATCTTGAAAATGAGTGTGATACATATAAATAAACATATGTATTAATTACCTGAATTTAGCCATTCTACAATGCATGTGTATTTCAAAAGAACATGACAAATACACATACATACGCACAAACACGATATTTGACAACTGCAAATAAATAAATTAGAAAAATGGCAAAACACCCAAATGTTGTGCAGTGATAAAACTATAAGAGGAAATAGTCCATGCGTAAATAATCTTTTAACAAGATATTGGCATTAATAGTCCTCAGTTACAATAACATTTAAATATTAGGAAATGATATATTTGGCATGAGAAAAATATTTTTAATAAATCCAAGAACTTCTATACCTTAGAATGTTTTAAAAATCATAATTTTTAATTTCCGCTTGTTATAAGCCCTGCATTCAAGTTATTTTTAATGCTTATTTTATGACAAAAACTCCTGATTGCTTATTTACAGAACAATAAGGGCGTAGTTTTGAACTGGAATAGTTAACCTGCTTTCTGAT